GGAGGCTCTGCCCCATGGGGGTCTGCAGAGGGGGGACAGCTCCTGCTCAGTTCCCTCTATATGGACGCAGGTTCCTGTGGTCCTGGGGGTTGGGGACAATCCTGGGGGCCATCACTATCAAGGTCATGGCTCCTTGGCCTTTGAATCTTTAGTTCGATGCCTCAGTCTCCCCCATAGCCCCTCCACCTAGACTAGTTATGGGGGATCCCTGACCTGGAAGATTCCCATCGACCTCCAGAGCCCAACCAGTCATGGGCTTTGACTTGGGGGAAGGTCAGCTGAATGAGCCAGGCACCCCGAGTGTCAGCAGTCAACTGAAGCCCCCCTGACACAGGGTGGGTGTGACCTGCTTGAGGGAACAGCCATATGGAGGCACTTGGGGGTTGAGCAGCAGCCTGTGACCCCCTAGTTTTTCCCCAGCCCCACCTGTCCCTCTGAAGCCCAAGGGCAGGGCGGGTGGAGCTGCCCAGAGCTGTCAGGATGGTGCTGAGCCAGGCCTGTCCTGCAGACGCTCCGGCTGCCCACCGTCACCACGATTGCCGTGCCTGCTGGCTACGACTGGAGAGACATCGTCAAGTACCTCATAGACCACTTCTCCATCGAAATCACGGGCGGCCTGGGGCCCTCCTTGGGGAAGGTGAGGGGGTGGCCATACCTACCACAGAAACTAGGTTCACCCCCACATGGAGCATGACTGTGCCTGGGTCCAGGCTGAGGTCGGCAGTCATCCAAGGACCCAGGACAGCGGGGGTGTCCGGAAAGGAACATCTTTCTCCAAACCCCGGGGGTGTGTACAGGGGGAATCTGGGCCCTTCTTCCCCAGCTGGTGAGGTGCAGCACCTCCAATTCCACCCAGAATGTCCTTCCTCCTCTCTGTGGGGCAGAGCAGGCAGGAGGCCCTGTGCTCGGGTCCAGCTGTGCCCACTGAGAGGGTGATTCTGAGTGGCCTTTTCTGACCGCCACCCTGGATACCCTTCTCGAGCTCTGTGGGCTCTGCCTGGGTCTGGGAGCTCCCTGTGTGACTGGAGGAAGCTCTGGCTTCCCTGTGTCCCCTGGGTGGGAGTCCCCTCGTTGGGAGCCCACCTGGCTCTGTCCAGACCTCAGCCAGGGCCAGGTGGGGTCCTGGGTGGAGGACGACGTCTCGCCACCCTTGCCCCCCAGGTGCTGCGGATCGGCCTCCTGGGCTGCAACGCCACCCGGGAGAACGTGGACCGAGTGATTGAGGCCCTACAGGAGGCCCTGCAGCGCTGCCCCCGGAACAAGCTATGACTTGGGCACCAGGCCCTGCCCTTGGGCCCGGGGGCAGGATAGGCCCCAGCCCCAAGTGGCCCTTCTCCTTCCTAGTAGAACTCCCTGGAAATGGCCCTTTGGGCTCAGGATCCTCAGCTCCTCCCAAATGAGCTGCAGTCCCCAGGTCACTGGCCTTCTGAGAATACTCAATAAAGAACAGGTGGTCATCCATCCTCACTGTGCGGGCTGGGCTGCGGAAGAGTCTGGCAGGAAGGCACTGCTGCGCCCTGACTGCACCTTTGTTGGGGGAAGCTCACGGCAGATCCTCGCTTAGGGCTTCCCTGGGGCTAGAAGATGGGGTGTGCAGGGGCCCCAGGTCTCACACCTGCCAAACACATGGTCACACACAGCCTCCAGGGGAGCTCACAGCCGCAGGGTGACCCGTGACCTGAGTTGAGGGTGAAGGCAGAAAGCCTAGAGCACACAGCTGGGACCTGAGCCTGGGTACCTGGCCCGCAGGCCAGCGCAGGCACCAAGTCTGGGGGGGCCTCTGCCCGGCCGCCAGCAGACCCTCCAACGTGCAGCTGAGGGTGGCCTGGAGCCCCGGCCTCCCCACTCCTTGGTTTGGCTCTTGGACCTTCTGTCCATTCACTCTGCCCTCACTTGGGCCGAGCCCCCTCAGCCTCTCCCTAATTTGAAGTTTCAGACTAGGCCCACCTCTGACCTACTCTGGACCAGGGTATGCTCTGGGCAGTCAGAGCCATGCCCACATTACCCGGTCCTCACTGGTCCTCACTGGCTCTGCCCCTGTCACTCACCCAGGGCACTCGGGTAGGTCCCTGAGCAGATCAGAGGCCATCCACGCCCAGTGCTTTGGGCCACCAGGAGAGACGGGCACTGGTGGGACACTCACATGACAGCTATGGTCAGCACAGGACCTGTGAGGGCCAGAGGGTCTGAAGTCCAGAAAGCAAAGGTAGGGATGGGTGCTTTTCCAGAAGAGGCCCGAAAGCTTGGGGGCCCGAACACACAGGGCCCTGCAGGTCACCTTCACGACGTAGGCCTTTGTCCTGAGAGCAGCCCTGTCTTGGTGGGGCTTCCCCAGAAGCAGACAAGCGCCATCCAGCGGCAGGCCCCCTGAGCTCCCCATCCAGTCAGTGCACCACCTCCCACTGATTTCCATCACCACCGATCAGTTTTGTGACTGGAGTTCATATAAATGGAACCACACAGTATATTCTCTAGCCGGTCTGCTTTCCCTTCGCACTTGGTTACTGTGGGAATGCGGTGAGTCTTTGTTGCTGGGTTACCATTGCATTGCATGGATTTATCAAAATTGGTGCATCACCTGCTGCTGATGGACCCCTGGGTGATTTCCAACTGGGGGCTATTATGAATACGGAGGTAATGACCATTCTTAGACAGGCTTTATGTGGACACCTATTCATTTCTCTTGGGTAAATACCTAGAGTGGAATTATGGGTCACACGGTAAGGACAGGTTTAACTTTGTAAGGCGCTGCTACCATGTCCTCAGAGGTGGTTGCAACCTTTTACATTCTCACCAGAGTGGAGGAGAGTTCCTGTTGCTCCACACTCTCACCATCACTTGGCGTTCTTTTCCCCCCAGTGCGTGTGAAATTGAATCTACTTTGATTTTATTATGCATTTCCCTGATGATTGATGGTGTTGAGCATCTTTTCATGTGTTTATTGGCCATTCATGTATTTCCTTTTGAGGAGTGTCAGCCCAAGGGTTTTGCTCACATTATTTGATGTTATCTTCTTATTGTCAACTTGTGATAGTTATTCGATAGGTTCTGGATACTGTCAGACACGCTGCTATGAGCATTTTCTCCTAATCTGTGGCTTACCTGCACTCATATCGTGTCTTTCAAAGAGCAGATATTTTAAATGTTGATGAAGTCCGAGTGTTTTCTTTTATGGTCTGTGCTGTTTGGATGCTGTCCAGGAAACATTTGCCTACTTTGTGATCCTAAAGATATCTTACCATGTTTCTTCTAGAAGCACTGGTGTCAGCTTTGATGTGTAGGTTTATGATCCACGTCATCTTAATTTTGAGATGGAGTGGAGAATGGGTCAAGGTACAATTTCACCCACTCTGACCAGACTTCCCTTCCCCATCTAATTAATGGACTTGACCACTCTGTCAGCTGACCACATGCATAGGTCTGCTCTGGTCTCTCCATTCTGTGTTGTTGTATTTAGTTATCCTCACATTAGCGCCACACTGTCTTAATTAGCGCAGCTTCCTAGTATGTCTAAAGTCAGGTGGTTTGAATCCTCCAATTTTGTTATTTCAAAATTGTTTCTCCTGTCAGAGAGCCTTTGAATTTCTATGCAAATTCTAGACTTGTCTTATCTAGAGTGTGTTGGAGTTTTGATGGAATGGCACTAAATCTATGTATCAAGTTACGTACAATGGAAAGCATCAAAATATTATAAATTTTTAATTTAAAAATTCTAAAGACCTAAACATTAATTTGGATCGCTTGAGATCATATGTAGCGCTGTTTCTAGTTTTGAGTGTGGAAGTCTCACATAGCCTTTGTTAGATATATTTCTGCATGTGTGATATTTTTATGCTATTGTTAATGGTATTTTTAAATTTTTATTTCCAGTGGTTTACTTGTAATATATAGAAATACAGTTCACTTTCCTCTATTCACCTTGTATCTCTTGACTTGTTAAATTAACAAGTCTGGTAGTTTCTTTGTGAATTCCTTAAGGTTTTCTATGTACATAATCAAGTTGTCTATGAATAATGACAGTTTTACTTCTTCTTTTCCAATATCCATGCCTTTTACTTATGTTTTCCTGCTTCATTGCAAGGACCTATAGCACGGAGCTCGTGGTGGGCACACAGTGGCCTGGGTTCTGTGGTCGGGCCCATCCTCTGCGGGGCCCATGTCGTACCAGACACTGTGCTTTGAACAGTGAACTATTGTTCTCTGCTGCAGAACCTCGGCTTCCATGCTAGGGTTTTCCAGGGACGCCACGTGGTGCCCGTTCTCCCTGGGGACCCCAGCCCGTGAACCTGCTGGACAGCCAATCTGTGCTTTGACCCACTCAGAACTCACTGTCTCCGAGCCAGCCAACAAATGGACTTCCCAAGGAGGTAACCGCATCTCCAAGATCCAGTGAGGCTGCAGGCCCCATCCTTGTGCTTGTGGTAGGTGGGCAGGTACAAGGACTCTTGCTATTCCCTGGGAGTGCATTAATTTATTCCAGATCAGACACGTAGTATTTCACCTCACGGAGTGGCATTTGACACAGATGGGACGAGTCCTCAGATCCAGAAACTCAGTTTTCAGAGTCTTGACGGCACCACGCAGGTGGATGGACACAAGAAGCACATGCCCCTTACCCCTGGAGATGAGGCAGCTGCTCCCAGGGGCCCACTGTCCTGCACTCTTAGACTCCCATGAGGCCACCCACCCCGGACAAAGTCCCTCCACGACCCACCACCCGCCTCAAGGTGAAGGCCTCTGCCCGTGTCCCAGGAGCCTCCGTGGGGCAGTGTAGCAGCGGCAGAGCCCAGGCACCCACTCAGCTGTCCTCGCCGCCCAGGGTCTTGGTCTTCCGGAATATGCTCTGCATGGCCGAGATCCGGTCCTTATCCTGGATGTGGAAGACCTGGAACTGCGGGCAGGGCAGGACAGAGGGGTCACAGAGACATCTGGGAGTCCATCACTGGGCCCCAGACACAGCATGGGACAACACCTGTCCCTGACCACTGGGCTTCCTGCCTCTGGGTCTCACCTGGACAGTCCTCCCTGCAGCTGGACCTGCCTAGGGCCTTCCTCACACCCAGGTGTCCCTGGATGGCCTGACACCAAGGAGGCCTGGGCAGGTGCTTGCTGAGGCCTGAATGTGGGTTACCCTTCCCGCTACCATCACTCCGTGTCCCTGAGTGTACCCTGGAAGGGGACATGTTGGCTCTTTGGCATGAAGGTGGGGATGGCCCTTGGGGGAGGAGCAGGAGGAGGCTCCCAGGGACGGGGGAAGGGAGGGTCAGCAGAGCTGGTGGAACCTTGGGGCTTGAGAGGGGCAGCTGGTGGAGCAGACAGGCACCCCCTAAATGCCAAGGGACGTGGCATGGGACTGCTGGGTCCAGGGAATCTGCTGATGAGGCCCACAGAGGCCACACCCCTTCAGGAGGAATGGAGCCGATGGTAGCTGCTGGGGCTCTGAGTGCTCTCACTGTGGGTTTGGGTGGTTCTGGGGGGAACAGGGGCAGGCTTGGGCATGCTTCCCTACTTCCGAGACAGCAGTCCTGGGCCTGTGGGGCCACTGGTGGGCAGGGGGCAATCATGGCCTATCTGACCCCAATGTCACATCCTTTCCTGACAGAAGCTGTCTAGAGGCCTGACCTGACCCAACCTCCTTGCTCAAGCTCCTGACCCTGGGCAGAGGTCTGCCCAAGGCCCCCTCAACTGTCTGTGCCCACCTTGTCCAGCAGGACATCAAAGTAGGCGGTGGCCCAGTAGGTGGGGTCGCTGGCGGGCAGCTGCAGGAGCGCCTTGACCCCGTGGCCGATGCGCGGCGGGGGGCTGCGGCCCAGGTGGGTGACGTGGATGCGCAGGGACGCCTCGGGCTGGCTGGCGAAGTGCTCCACGCGCTGGTAGAGGGCATTGAGGTCCAGGCTGGTGTCCTGCAGCAGGTTGTGCTCGGGGTGGAGGAAGTGGGGCAGGTTCCTGGTGGCCAAGCAGCACAGCAGCACCACGAGCAGGCGGTACACAGCGCCCTGCAGCTCCGCCCAGTCCTCGGGCGCCGGGAAGAGCACCGAGGCCCAGAGCAGCACAGCCTTTGGGAAGACAGTGGGTCAGGCCTTGGGGACGGGATGTGGACGGACCCTCCAGCGCCCCCCCTCCTCACCCCACTCCCAGAAGACTCTGCCCACAGGCACTTTCCCCCCACTCTTTACACCTCCCCTGGGTGCCCCAGCGTGAGTCCTAGACCCTTCCCACCTGCTGTGCCCACCATGGTGCCTCCCTTGACTCCCAGGGGCAGGAGGGCACTGCAGCTGAGCAGGTCCCCACCCAGCATCCTCTCCATGCCTCCCTGGCACCCCGACGCCAGCCACCAAGATCCTTCTGAGGGGATTTGAGGCTCCTACCCACCCTCTGGCCCTTTCCTCACGCCCCACTCCCACTGAACTCCTACTCATGCCCTATTGCTCCACCCTAAGGGCCCCACTCCATGACATTCCCTGCCCTAGTCTGTGTGCCCAGGACTCCTGGGCCCAGAATATGTCTGAAATCCACAATTAGACTTATCTGGCTGCCCTCCCACCCCTGGTCCTGAGTCCCCTCTCCTTTTGCTTTACCTGCCCCTCTCCTCTGCCATCCCATCACCCCTACTTCACTGCAGGAGCCACCCTGTGTCAGACTCCAAAGGACCCCCTCAGAAGTTGGCACCCCCTCAGGGGGTGGGATGGAGTTCTGAGAGGGACGGTGAGTGGCTTGAGGTCGCACGGGGACTCCTGGTAGAGTTTCTTCTGCACCAGGGTGGACCACGTCTCTTAACCCTCGACCCGTGTCATGGAGCAGCATTCTGAGGCCTTGCACTGCCCACTCCGGGCAGAGACCCCAAGACTCCATGGCCCCACCCACTTCCCCTGCACCACCCTGTGAGCTCCTGCCCCTACTTTTCCAGCGCCTGGCAGTACCCAGCCCTAGGAGGACACTGTTCCAGTGCTGTCACGGAGCCACTGGGCAGCAGAGGAGGGGTGCCAGGGCCGGGCTGGCTCCACTCAGAGAGGGAGTCCCGGCCGGTAACATTCACAGACTCCAGGCCGGAGGACAGAGGTCTCCCAGGGCTGACACGAGCTGGTGGGCAGGCTGGCTGTGTGCCACCCAACTCAAAGGGCCAGGAGAACCCCCGGGGTCACCAGCCCTGGGATGGCAAAGGCGGGTCTGAGGTGCCACCGCACTCAGCAGCCAGATGTCACTGTGAGCCTGGGCCTCTGGGAACCCGGCACGGCCTCAGAAGCCTCTGACTCAGAGCTTGCTCCAGGCTGTGCATCGGTCAGAGCCGGCCCAAGGGCCCAACCTGGGGCCCCCTGCCCCGGGCCTCTGGTTATAGACAAAGGCCCAGCAGAGTGGGAACAGGGCTCCTAAGCCCCCCACACGTACCTTCAGGTGATCAAAGGTGAGGCCGGGGCTCTGGCCGCTGTCGCACCAGCTCTCATGGTTGACCCGGTCCAGGATGGAGAGGCTGTCCAGGCGGTGGCCCGGCAGGGAGCCCAGTGCGCTAAGCAGCCTGGTGAGCAGGTAGTCCATGGAGACCCTGGGAGCCCAGACAGACACACCACTCGTGGTCGGCATCTCGGCCTCAGCCAGGTGTCGTGGCACCCTGCATCCACAGCGTATCCCCAGAAAAGAAAGCCTCCCCAGGATGGGCAGCTCCTGAGCCCCAGGGGACAGCCCAGACCTTGGCAGAGGCTGGTGGGAGGCACGCAGCCGGGCTTCATGCATGTTTCAGGAATGGCATGCAGAGGGCTGTCTAGTGTGAAATGTCTGGTTTACACATAGACACAGAGCACGGAGGGACATGGGGAGCCTCTGGGCTAGCCAAGCCTTTTTATGGGGACTGGAAGGTGCCACTCTCAGCAGCCCAGGGTGGAGCAGCTGAGGTTTCTGGTTCCTGGCAGGGGTGTGGGAGGAGCCACCGCAGCCTGGCAGGTATGATGTCTTCATTCCATGCCCCACTCTGGCAGCCACCCTCTACCGGGCACCTTCAGACCACAAAGGGGCTCAGAATCTTGCCCCCAGCAGTGCCCACAGCACAGGGCACACCAGAGGCACTAGCTGTGTGCTTGCTGGGTGATTGAGGGTGGGATCTGGGCATGGTGCCCTCAGGTTCCCCACTCTGTGTGCAGTCTCAACACTGGACG